TTCCAACTCCATATCTAAGCTTTTACCACATCTATATCTAACGTAGCGCTTTCCACCTTCACATCTAACTTAGATCTTTACACCTTCACATCTAACTTAGTGCTTTCCATCTCCACATCTAACTTAGTTCTTTCCATCTCCATATCTAACTTAGCTCTATATTTGCCTTATCGGCACGCGTGAAGAGCAACCTCCCCGTTGTGAGTGCTGGGTAACGCTAATTGCTCTTCCACCGTGTGGACCCGGGGTAGAATGTGTCCTCAGCACCCCTTTGCTGCTCGTAAAAGGCGACCGAATTGGACAACCTGTTTGCCGTGGGTTGCGTCTCTGTGTTGGCGGTGGACGGGAGTCTGGTGGCTGAGGGCACTGGTTCCAGGAATAGCGTTCCTTTGCCCAATACACCACTTCGACCCTTACTTCGTCTAGATGGGTGGTAGGATGGGCCCGGTCCTATCAATCGGCTGGTAATGCCAAGCCCTGAGTACCTTACGTTTTGCTCACTGCTCTCACTATTTGGCTTGGAAATTTGTATCTGTAATTGAATTGTTTGAATAATCATTTACACCGATTTTCTCTGTACTTGTTATATTCAAAATTTGCCTAGAAGCCAGTGATGTTTCTGCTTGAGTATACCCTCTTGGTATCCTTGGTGTCGCCTGTTGGAGACTCACAGGAATATGACATTGTCCTTGTTGACACTCCATGGTGGGTGGGGACCCACGAGGGTGAATCAAAGTAACTACCAACATGGAACCCCCACTGAAAAAACGTTCACATGAATCACTTGATTGGTTTGATACAGAGGAGAATAGTCCACGGACGCCTCCTATTACTTTTGAAAACTGGCCTTGATTCTTTGTTTTTTCTTCTTTGGATGACACTCCTCTGAAGCTGAATCTATTTGCTGTTGAAAAGGCTATTCAAGGCATATCTGGAGATGTTGAAGATGTCAAAAGATTACGCAGTGGATGTTTGTTGATCAAATGTAAGCGACACAAACAAGACGTTAGTCTTCTCTCTATTAAAACACTTGCAAATGTTGCAGTTGTTGTTACTCCACAAGTCCCTTAACAGCTGTAAGGGACTTGTAAGAGATAGAGGCCGTTTCCTGGCTGCTATGTCCGAGGATGACATTTTGTGGAAGAACTGAGAAACCAAAATGTACTTTCTGTCAAACGCTTTTCTTCTAAGAGAAATGGTGAGGTAACTAAGACCAATACCTACTTGTGTACTTTTGGTCTTCCCAAAATTCCAGATTCCATCAAAGCAGGATGTTGTAGCATCAAAGTGAATATGTACATACCTAATCCACTGAGATGCTACAAGTGTCAGCATTATGGCCATGGATCAAGAACTTGTGATAAGCAGACTGCTTGTCATAGATGTGGACAACATGTTTCTTCCCCTAAGGAATGTCACACATGGAAGCGTGACTCTAAACTTGTTAAACTCAAACATGAACGGAGCATCTCTTTTCAAGATGCGAGGAATATTGTTTGAGATGAAGAACAGTCTTCTTGCAGTTCTTAATCTGCAGCTGTTTCCCGACCAAATTCCAAACCTGCTCCACAACATTTTCCACAGCCTATTTCTTGCATATCTGTGGGTTGTCAAACAGAATATACCTTGACTAAAACAGAATCTCCTGAAGTAATTTCCCTCTCTGTTGATTCAACATCTGTTTTAGAAACAACCCGCTCACAAAGTCAATCTCAGTCAGCAAGAAAACAACAATCTGAAACTACTGTCAAGCAAGTCACAAAGAACAAACCAAAACCCCGAACAGAGTCATCAAAAAAGTATCAGTGTCGCAGACCCTCAAAAGGACCAGACAACCAGATCCAATTATTTAACAAGTTTGGTTCCCTCGAGGATATGGATGTGTCCGACAACAGCCACCATAGGACACAAAGCTTGTCACCTTCAAAGAAAGGCTGGGGTAGATCCCCAATTAAAATTCTGAAAAGATAATGTCTTCACACATTATACAATAGAACTTTTTTAATGATTTCCAACTTTTAACTCAAGATTTCAATCAATCAGCATTATGTTTGCAGGAAACATACCTAAAATCCATAGACAAATTTGATTTAAGACATTATGATTTTTACCATTGCTTCTCTCCTCCTGGTGAGAAGGCTACTGGAGGATCTTCTATTTCATAGACCCGTTCCGCTCAATACCCCTCTTCAGGCAGTTGCAGTGCGTGTTACGCTGCATATATGTTTTACTTTGTGTTCTCTCCATATTCCGCCATCATTTTCTCTGCGTCAGTCAGATCTCCAAGCCCTTTATGACCAACTCCCTCAACCCTGCATTATCATGGTAGATTTCAATGGCCATAATCCACTTTGGGGCAGTAATAACACCAATACAAAAGGTAAGATACTCGAGGATTTCCTATCAAATAATGATTTATTATTTATTTATCATTTATTTTTAATGATGGCTCTAACACATATCTACACCCTGCAACAGGTTCATATTCCTCTCTGGATTTGTCTGTCGTGGATGCCAATCTGTTTAATGAATTCGAATGGTCAGTCCACAATGACCTTTGTGGAAGTGACCATTTTCCCACTGTAATTTCAATCGTAAATCCAACTGATGCCCCACCATCATCAAGATGGAATTTTACAAAGGCCAATTGGTCTTTATTTTGCACATTATGCACTGAAAGATTAAAGCCCAAATTAATTCTAAATGTTAATGATCCTATTCATGATTTTTTCTGATGAATTAAATATAATTGCTTATGAATGTATCCCAAAAGTCCTCTACGGTTCCACACATCTGTAAACCATGTTTTAACATGGACTGCAAACAAGCTAGAAAGGCTAGGAAAAAGGCAGAAAAATAATTTCGTCGCCATCCAACAGTCCATAACTTAAATCAATTTCAAATTTCAAATGCCAAGGCTCGGCGTACCTTTAAGCAAAATAAACGACAGTCATGGCAAACATATTTTTCTAAAATTAAATCACACACACCTATTTCTAAGGTTTGGAATATGGTTCAGAAAATTGAAGGAAAAGGGTCTAAATCAAGTGTTCACCATCTGAAGGACAAATAAATCAGATACTGCAAATAGATTAGGTGAAACATTAGCTCAACGTTCCTCATCGTCCAAATATTCACCTAACTTTCAGAAATATAAGGAACAACAAGAAAAAAAAAAACCTAATTTTTTTACTCAGATAACAGTGAGGATTATAATGAAGTATTTTCAATTCATGAGCTCCATACCATCCTTGGGCAAGCTCATGATACTGCTTCGGGGCCTGATAATATTCATTATCAGCTCTTTAAACATCTACCTGAATCGTATTTAGAAACTATGCTCAATATCTTTGACAATATTTGGACTTCTGGTAATTTTCCAATCAGGGTCAGGGTGTCCCACAAGGCAGTATCATTGTTTAGCATAAAGATTAACAGTTTGTCAAAGGTTTTAAACGATTCACTTGATGGATCCTTTTTTGTGGATGATTTTAATATTTCTTGTCGTAGAAAAAAACATGCATACGATTGAAGGGCAACTGCAATTGTGTATAAATATAATTCATAAATGGTCTCTTGAAAATGGCTTTAAATTTTCAAAAGGCAAGACCAACTGCAATAATTTTTGTTGGAAATATAAGCCGCATAAGGACCCTGATTTAGTTTTGGATGGTGCCCCTATCAAAGTTGTCAAGTTTCTTGGTATGCTCAATGTCTAACTTAGCTCTTTCCAACTGAGCTTGGTGCACCTTCAATATTTAACCTAGCTCTTTCAAACTCCCTATCTAACTTAGAACTTCCAAACCTCATACCTATTTTAGATCTGTCCAACTCAATATGTAATTGATCTCTTTCCAAATCCAAATGCAACTTAGCTCTTTCCAAATCCATACCTAGCTATTTCCAACTCAATATCTAAATTAGCTCTTTCCAAGTCTTTTCTAACTGTGCTCGTTGCATTTACATATTTAACCTCGCTCTTTCAAACTCCATATCTAACTTAGCTCTTCCCAACTCCATATCTAACTTAGCTCTTTCAAACTCCATGTCGAACCTTGGTCTTTCCTGCTCTGAATCTATCTTAGCTCTTTCCTGCTCTATATCTATCTTAGATCTTTCAAACTCAATATCTAACTTAGCTCTTCCTGATTCCATATTTAACTTACCGGTAGCTGTTTCGATCTTAGCTCTTTCAAACATCATATCTAACTTAGCAATTTCCAACTCAATATCTAACTTTGCTCTTTCCAACTCCATATTGAACTTATCTCTTTCCTGCTCTATGTAACCGGGGTTTGTGATGACAAAAAGAATGTCCAACACGGGCTACGGGTGTGAGTCTTTATTGCCTTAGCAGATAATGACACCCTGTAATGTACAAAACAATAAGATTATAAAAATAGCAGTACACAGGTTGTTGCGCTTACAACATTAATGCACACGTATTTAGTTTGTATGGGTTTCTGAGTTGATGCTGTGTTGATTTTCATGTACTTAAGGAAGTACTTTCTTATGTTAGAGATGTTGAATATTTTGATGTTTGTTATGCATGTAAAACATGTGAAAAAAAAGGGAAAAAGAAAAGTATGTTTAGGTTGCGTTGTATGGGTGCGACTCGAACCAGTGTTGCGTGCATGTTGACATTCACAACGTCATTAATTAACAGTCAATTAGAGTTATGGTTCTTTGTGAGCAAGCGCGATAACCCTACTTGCGTGGTGGGCATAAGGCCGGTTTTCTTTGCTGATGAAGGGGAAAATTTGTAAGTTACAGCAGACGTAAATCATTATTGTTGATGACTCATTACAGTTAGCGTTTATTCATACATGTATGTAGCAGATAAGTACGCCTTATTCGGCGCTGTATGGACAGGACGTTAATTTATCATGCTTGTGTCTTCACTGCTTCAGACTTGAATAAACAAGAACCATTCAAGACCCCTTCGATTTGTTCCTTTACCTCGCCACAATTCAAGTAAATTCCTCGATCTGCAGTCAACCATGGAGGAAAAGGAACAGCTTGAGAGGGCGAGAAGAAACCGGAAAGGAAAACTGACGCTGGCCATGAAAGAAATGTTCAAGATCAGAATGTAAATGCTGAAAATGATAATGTTATTGTTCACAGTGATGATGAAAGTTGTAGTAATGATAATCAAAGTGTATCGGACATTGATGAACAAAATGTAAAAGAAAAGATTGACAATGTTGCCACAGATGTTTGTAGTAATGCAACGAATCCAATGGTTGGAATGATGCAGGCCATGGCTTTGCCTAGGGCACAGGCAAAAAGGTTTGATGGTGATCCTTTGCATTATCATGCATTTGTTGCATCTTATGAAAACAGTGTAAAATATATCTATGATGATGGTGTAAAACTCAATTTGCTGAGATCATTGTGTGTAGGTAGGGCCCTTGACTGTACAGATCATTGCTTGTTGAAACCCTCAGATGAAGGTTTGCGATCAGCATTGCTCACTCTGAAGGAGAGATTTGGTACAAATGGAGTGGTTGTCCAGGCCTGGGTGAGAAAAGTAACAGTCCGCCGTGCAAGAGTTGAAGTGGGTAAACTGGAAGAATATGCAGATGATTTGGACAATTGTCATCAAGCCCTGAAAGCACTCGGGTATCTGAATGAGATGAACAATCAAGCAACATTGAAGAGTATTGTTGAGAAATTACCAAGATTTCTACAACAGAGGTGGGCTAGAGAGGTTTACAAACTGAGGATGAATGGAAACATGCCAGCCTTGCAGGACTTGACAAGATTTGTCAGAGCAGCTGCTATAGAAGTGAATGATCCTGTATTCGGGATGGTTGATCGTCAACAGACACTGACTCAGACAAGGGAAAACCCTGGTTACCGCAGCAGAGTTCTAATGTTGAGAGGGACATCAAGAAACAAGTGTTGGAACTGTCCTGATGATCATTGGCCTGATGAATGTCCTGTTTTTCAAAATCTATCACCATCTGAGAGGCTTAAGAGAGCAACTGAAAAACGTGTGTGTTTTTCTTGTTTGAAGATAGCTGGTAAAGGTCACAAAGCAACAACATGTACTCGGCGTCAGCAATGCCCAAATTGTGCTGCTGTGCATCATAGACTTCTGCATGTTCAGTCAGGACCACATACGCAGCAAGCCTTAGTCTGCAGTGAAAATGAAAATGGAATGTTGCCAGTCATCAGTGTTGAAATTGGGAGGAGGACATGTAACGCCGTATTTGATTCGGGAGCTAGCATCACTCTTATCAGAGAGGAGGTTGCCAAGGATTGCGAATTTGAGAGTCACCCAGTACAAGTGGAGATAGGAACTGTTGGTGGAGAGATCCATATGCATAACACCAGAGCATACAAAGTTAAATTGAAATCAGTAAACCAGCAGATATTTTCTGTCATTGCAGTAGGGGTTCCAGAGATAACTGAAGTACCAGAAATGAGTTTGAGCCTGAAACAGAAGTTTGAAAAATATCTTGGAGAACCTATACACAGAAGAGGAGGACCTATAGATCTGCTGATTGGTGTGAACAATGCTCGCATGCATGTTGGAGAGATCAGAGAAGCTGATGGATTTGTTGCTCGCAAATCGCCACTCGGTTGGGTTGTTTTTGGATCAAGTGAAGGAGGTGCATCCAACAGTCAAGTTCTCGTTGCACAGCTAGCGAAACCAGTTGACTTGAGTCAGTTCTGGAGTACTGAAGAAATGGGAGTAAGATGCATGGCAATAGAAGAGAGTTCACAAGCTCATGAAATGTGGGATTCATGTCAAAGAGTTGATAATCATTGGGAGGTTACATATCCATGGATAAAGTCACCAGACCAGTTACCTGACAATCGGGATCAGTGCTTCTCTCAGATGAAAGCAACTGAGTCAAGGTTGAAGAAGAGTGCAGATTCAGCCAAAGTGTACAATGATGCAATACAAGAGTTGGTTGACAGACAATTTGCAAGAAGATTGAATGAAGAAGAGATCCGTGAATACAAGGGTCCAGTGTATTATCTGCCTCATCATGCAGTCATTAGAAAGGAGAGTAAGAGTACACCGATCAGAATAGTCTTCAACTCATCAAGTAAGTACCAAGGAGGCTGCATCAACGACTATTGGGACAAAGGACCAGATTTGCTTCAGAGTCTCGTAGGTGTTACTCTAAGATTTAGACAGTATCAGACAGCCATCGCTGGAGACATCAGTAAGATGTACTATCAAGTGAGGATATCAGAGCGCGATCAACACGTACACAGGTTTCTCTGGCGGAACTTTGAAAGGAGACCTCCTGATACATATGTTCTTCAAGTGGTAACCCCAGGAGACAAGCCTGCACCGGCTTTGGCAATAACTGCTTTGATGAAGACAGCTAAGGAAGCAGAATCAGAACATCCAAAAGCAGCACAAACCTTACTTAAAGATACATACATGGACGACATATGTTCATCAGTACCAACTGATGTGAATGAGAAGGAGTTGAGTGAGGATATTGATGCAGTCCTGGCATCTGGCGGATTCAAGGTTAAAAGTTGGACTTCAAACGGAGGCAAGTTCAAGAATAGCGAGTACAAAGAGAATATCATGTGGACAGAGGAACAGAAGATCCTGGGAGTGGTATGGGATCCAAAGGATGATGTGTTGAAATACAAGGTCAAACAACCTGACTTAAAGGGATCAAACCTGACCAAGAGAATTGTTGTCAGTGAGTTGTCAAAGGTGTATGATCCGATCGGATTTGCAGGAGCATATCTCATCAAAGGAAAGGTTATGATGCAGCAACTATGGTCACGTGGAGTTTCCTGGGATGAGGAACTTGGTGAAAGGGAGACAGTCAGTTGGATCAACTTTTTTTCTGAGCTTAAAGAGCTTCAGGGAGTCAGCTTTGACAGATGTCTCATCCCGGAGCAAACTGCAGAGACACGTCAGTTAGTGACATTTTGTGACGCTTCTGAGAAGGCGTTTGGTGCTGTTTGTTATACCAGATGGATAACGGTTGATGGAACTGTTGGTGTAAGATTTGTTGCAGCAAAGGCAAGAGTTGCGCCTTTGAAAGCCTTGACACTGCCAAGACTTGAGTTACAAGCAGCTGTGTTAGCATCTCGACTCGCGACAACTGTAAAGCAGGAAATGACAGTATCCTTTGATCAAGTGTTTTTCTTGTCTGACAGCGTTATTGTCTTGAGCTGGATAAGAGGTCAGTCACGTCAGTGGAAGTCATTTGTCGCCAACAGAGTTGCTGAAATTCAGAGCCAAAGTGATCCTACTGATTGGTTTCATATTCCAGGTGAATACAATGTAGCAGACAAAGTGTCACGGGGTGTGCCAATTGGTGATTTGACAGGGGATTGGAGAGATGGCCCGATATTCCTACAGATGCCCCAAGAGCAATGGCCAAAGTCAAATCCCAAAGCTGATTGCGATGAAGTTGAAAAAGAACGTAAGAGAGAGAAAACAGTATTGATAGTTTCAGAGACTGAACGAGTGATTGATGCAAGAAAGTTCTCAAAGTGGAGAAGACTGATTAGAGTTACATCTTATTTGCAGAGATTCATCAACAACTGCAGAAGAAAGGAGCCAGCCATTACCGGTCCACTTACAGTTGAGGAACTATCTGCATCTGAGAAATATTGGATCCTCCAAGCTAAAACGGAGCTCAAGTCACTTGACACTTACAAAACTCTAAGTCCTTTTGTTGAAGATCAGATTGTTTATGTTGGTGGAAGGACCAACAATCAGAGGCTGTCATATGATACAGCTTACCCAGCACTTTTGCCACAAAGTCATCATATTTCATACCTGATTGCAAAACATGTTCACGAGACAGGTCATTATGGTGTTGCCTCGACAGCAGCCAGGGTGAGGAGGCGATACTGGATCATTGGAGTAACAAAGTTGGTGAAGAAAATCAAGCATAGATGTGCAAGATGCAGAGCCTTTGAACATAAACTTGAGCAACAATGGATGAGTGATTTGCCCATGGAAAGAGTGAAACCCTTTTCACCACCTTTCTTTTACACTGCAGTGGATTATTTTGGACCGATTGATGTTAAAGTTGGCCGAAACAAGACAACAAAACACTATGGCGTCATCTTCACTTGTTTAAACACAAGAGCGGTGCATTTGGAGCTGGCAGTTGACTGTTCTACTCAGGAGTTTCTGCAAGTGTTGAGAAGGTTCTTTGCAGTCAGAGGCTATCCATGTCAAATACAAAGTGACAACGGTACACAGTTTGTTGGTACTCAGAGACAGCTAAGACAGATGATTCAAGGTTGGGGCAAGGACGAGCTGAAGGAATACTGTGCTGAAAAACAGGTACACTGGAAGTTTGTAACACCATTAGCGCCTCATCAGAATGGATGTGATGAAGCTTTAGTGAAGAGCTGCAAACAAGGCCTGAAGAAGGCTGTAGGATCTCAGCTTCTAACACCATTTGAGTTGTACATGTGTTTGCAGGAGGTGGCTAATCTTGTCAACCAAAGACCTATTGGAAGAATTCCCAATGACCCAGATGACGGATCATATGTATGTCCAAATGATCTTCTTTTAGGACGTGCTACAAGTAGAGTTCCACAAGGTCCCTTTCAAGAAACAAGGAATCCACACCACAGGTTTGAGTTTGTTCAGAGAATGGCTGATATTTTCTGGAAGAGATGGATCAGGGATGTCTTTCCAACGCTTGTTTCAAGGAAGAAGTGGAATGTACACAGAAGAAATGTGAGCGTCAATGACGTTGTAGTTATGGCTGATCCTAATGCAGTTCGTGGACAGTGGAAGTTGGGAAGGATTGTGGAAGTGTACCCAGGGGCAGATGGACGAGTCCGAAATGTCAAAGTTAGGACAGTCAAAGGAGAGTTCCAAAGACCAGTCACAAAGATTGCCGTGTTGTATCCATCTGAGGGTTTTGACGAGGAATGATTAATGTGCATTTTGATGCGAATCCTTCGCATGGTTGGGAGAGTGTTGCGCTTACAACATTAATGCACACGTATTTAGTTTGTATGGGTTTCTGAGTTGATGCTGTGTTGATTTTCATGTACTTAAGGAAGTACTTTCTTATGTTAGAGATGTTGAATATTTTGATGTTTGTTATGCATGTAAAACATGTGAAAAAAAAGGGAAAAAGAAAAGTATGTTTAGGTTGCGTTGTATGGGTGCGACTCGAACCAGTGTTGCGTGCATGTTGACATTCACAACGTCATTAATTAACAGTCAATTAGAGTTATGGTTCTTTGTGAGCAAGCGCGATAACCCTACTTGCGTGGTGGGCATAAGGCCGGTTTTCTTTGCTGATGAAGGGGAAAATTTGTAAGTTACAGCAGACGTAAATCATTATTGTTGATGACTCATTACAGTTAGCGTTTATTCATACATGTATGTAGCAGATAAGTACGCCTTATTCGGCGCTGTATGGACAGGACGTTAATTTATCATGCTTGTGTCTTCACTGCTTCAGACTTGAATAAACAAGAACCATTCAAGACCCCTTCGATTTGTTCCTTTACCTCGCCACAGGTTTCATACACACATATATTAATACAATATAAAGCGACCTTTCATTTAATATAAACATACATCTATAATCCGTACATGAACATGAACTTAATAATCAATGCTATATAAAATCGTTATCTTAACCCTGAAGTAAACAAACAATTTATCAAGGGCGATAACTCGATCCCGACATTACTGATAAGATTACAATATATAGATGGTCCATGGTTCTAAAATACAATAAACATTACAAATACAATTACCACTTTGTTGAAACTACTATATTAATTCATTAACTGACCATACATTTGGTATGATACACTATTTACAAAATATATTTCGTGATACGACAAACATGCAAATTATCCATACCCTGTGGATGACACTGGGGTGTTTGTGCTCTCTAGGCAGCCGCCTTGCTTGGTAGCTATGCAGCTATCAGCACACTCCTATTTACAGAATCAACTATGAATAAATATAACATAAAGAATACAATTGAGGAAATGTAACTAACTACACACTATCATACAATGATTGACATTGCATACAAATACTGTATTTACACAATTATAAAAATCAACGCATTCCCTCAAACATTCACACACAGAAAGAAGAAAGATGAAAAGCATTTATAGTGTTTACTTAGCCTTATTTGTAAGATAAGCATGTTAATAATACTGAAATAACATTCCACATAACTTAGTTAACATAAGTTATATCATGATACAAATACATACATAGATATTAGCTAGCAATTTTATAGATTACCAACCTTAATAATCGAATTATTTATCCAAGATGCGTCCAAGTCCAAATTGTTGACTGACTTCTGAATTGGTGTAGTGTCAAGTGCAAGATGGATGAAAAGTGCACAGTTTGAACAAGCCAATGAAAACAAGGCTTGGGTTAGAACAAAGAGAAGAAACAATGACACAAACATGGACCAACCAAACCACCCTCTACATTATAAGTAAATTAATCCAGAAGCCCATAATAGATATTGAACTAAAAACCTATTTTCCTAACAACTTAAAATAATATTACAAACCTAAAGGACCTCAAATAGATAAAACATATGTACAACAAAACTGTATGTTAACACTTGTGTTTGCTCTTTCCAACTCAATATCTAACTTCGATCTTTCCACCTACATATCTAACATACCTCTTTCCAAATCCATATCTAACTTAGCTCTTTTCAACTCAATATCTAACGTAGCGCTTTCGAAATCCATATCTATCTTAGCTCTTTCCAACTCAATATCTAACTTAGCTCTCTCAAACTCAAGATTTATCTTAGCTCCTTCCGTCTTAGCACTTTCATTCTCAATATCTAACTTAGATCTTTCCAACTCCATATCTAACTTCACTCTTTCCAAACACAATATCTAACTTAGCCCTTTCCAAACCCATATCTAACTTCGCTCTCTCCAACTCCGTATCTAACATACCTCTTTCCAAACACATATCTAACTTAGGTCTTTCCAAATCCATAACTAACTTAGCTCTTTCCAACTCAATATCTAACTTTGCTCTCTCAAACTCAAGATTTATCTTAGCTCCTTCCGTGTTGGCGCTTTAATTCTCAATATCTAACTTCGCTCTTTCCAACCCCATATCTAACTTAGATCTTTCTAACTCAATATCTAACTTAGCTCTTTCCAACTGAGCTTGTTGCACCTTCATATTTAACCTAGCTCTTTCAAACTGCATATCTAACCTAGCTCTTCCTGACTCCATATCTAACTTCATTCTTCTGCCATGAGCATCCCAGACGTGTTCGATGGGATTGAGGTCGGGAGACCTTGACGGCCAGTCCATGACGTTGACTCCCGCATTCTGAAGGAAATTCCTTGTCAAAATTGCTGTGTGGGGTCTGGCATTGTCGTGTGGGAAGATCAAACCGGGTCCATGTGCTGCCATAAAAGGCAAAAGTTCTGGTGCAAGTACCTGGTCGCGGTAAGCAGCAGCGTTGAGGTCGCCACGGATGCCAAGAAGCCTGGAACGTGCATTGCCACAGAAAGCACCCCACACCATGACACTTCCGCCTCGAAATCTGTCAACTTCCTGTACACAACACTGGGTGTAACGTTCATGACGGCGCCTCCAAACCCTCGCCCTACCATCAGCAAATCGTAGATTAAATCGGGATTCATCACTGAAGACGACTTGATTCCAATTCCTCTGAGTCCATCGTAAGTGTCGCTGTGCCCACAATTGACGTTGACGTCTGTGTAATTGAGTCAGAATCGGCCCGCAGTATGGCCGTCGTGCTTGAAGGTGAGCAGTTCTCAGACGGTTTCGAGCAGTTTGCGCACTCAGTCTACCCCTAAACAGTTCATTTCTAGTTGATGTAGCCGTCAAAAATCGGTTACGGAGGTGACGTAAGTCAATCTGACGATCCTCTGCATGTGACGTCACACGTGGTCGACCCGGCCGAGGGCGATCAGCGGTGGTACGTGTTCGTGTTTGCTGTAGACGCGTCTGTAAATCATAACAGTCCGTCGACTACAACCAATCGTCCTTGCGACTTCAGCTACGGACGTTCCCGTCTGCAACATGCCGATGGCACGTTCACGTTGCACATTTGAAAGGTGTGGCATGACAAATGGCCGTAAAGACTTTTGTTTTCTTGCGTTTTTTTCTTTTTTTGTTAATGACTGCCTACAAGTATGGCTGAAAACACGTGCGGTATTGTGGCCACGTGACCAGTTGCACGTGAAAAAACACTTTTGCCACTATAGTGCTGTGCTCATGATTTTGATCGATTCACCTGCACAAAAACGGGTGTTATCTGAAGACCATACGTTGCCATTACTGTTTAAATACACAATAAGGGCCCACAATGATAACTGGTCAAAATGTTAAAATTTTAGGAATGTGAAGTTTTTAATTTGGTTCAGTATATCTTAGCTCTTTCCAACTCAATATCTAACTTTGCTCTCTCAAACTCAAGATTTATCTTAGCTCCTTCCGTCTTAGCGCTTTCATTCTCAATATCTAACTTAGCTCTTTCCAACTCCATATCTAACTTAGCTCTTTCCAACTGAGCTTGTTGCACCTTCATATTTAACCTAGCTCTTTCAAACTGCATATCTAACTAGCTCTTCCCGACTCCATATCTAACTAAGCTCTTTCGATATTAGCTCTTTCATACTTAATATCTAACTTAGCTCTTTCTAAATCCACATCTAACTTAGTTCTTTCCAACTCAATATCTAACTTAGCTCTTTCTAAATCCATATCTAACTTAGCTCTTTCCAACTCAATATCTAACTTAGCTCTTTCCAAACTCCACATCTAACTTAGCTCTTCCAAACTCCATATCTAAATTAGCTCTTCCCAACTCCATATCTAACTTCGCTCTTTCCAACTCAATAGCTAATTTATATTAGCTTTTTCCTGCTCTATTTCTATCTTAGCTCTTTACAACGCTATATCTAACTTCGCTCTTTCCAAATTCATATCAAACTGAGCTCTTTCCAAATCCATATCCAACTTCGCTCTTTCCAACTGGGCTCGTTGCACCTTCATATTTAACCTAGGTCTTTCAAACTCAATGTCTAACTTAGCTCTTCCTGATTCCATATCTAACTTAGCTCTTTCCATCTTACCTTTTTCATACTCAATATCTAACTTTAGCTCTTTCCAAATCCATAACTAACTTAGCTCTTTCCAACTCCATATCTAACTTAGCTCTTTCCAACTCCATATCGAACCTAGGTCTTTCCAGCTCTATATCTATCTTAGCTTTTTCCAAATCCATGTCTAACTTAGCTCTTTCAAACTCAATATCTAACTTATCTCTTTCCAAATCCATAACTAACTTAGATCTTTCAAACTCAATATCTAACTTAGCTCTTTCTAAATCCATATCTAACTTAGCTCTTTCTAAATCCATATCTAACTTAGCTCTTTCCAACTCCATATCTAACTTAGCTCTTTCCAACTGAGCTCGGTGCACCTTCAATATTTAACCTAGCTCTTTCAAACTCAATATCTAACTTAGCTTTTTCAATCTTAGCTCTTTCATACTCATTATCTAACTTAGCTCTTTCCAAATCCATATCTAACTCAGCTCTTTCGAACTCAATATCTAACATAGCTCTTTCCAAATCCAAATCGCACCTAGGTCTTTCCAGCTCTATATCCATCGTAGCGCTTTCCAAATCCATATCTAACTTAGCTCTTTCCAAATCCATATCTAACTTAGATCTTTCCAACTGAGCTCGTTGCACCTTCATATTTAACCTAGCTCTTTCAAACTCCATATCTAACTTAGCTCTTCCCGACTCCATATCTAAGTTAGCTCTTCCCAACTCCATATCTAACTTAGCTCTTCCCAACTCCATATCTAACATAGCTCTTTCCAACTCCACATCGAACCTAGCTCTTTTCTGCTCTCTTTCTATCTACAGCCTTTC